TGATGCGAAGGAATCATATTTTTTTAAAAATAATTATAATATATATATATATATATGTGTGTGTGTGTGTGTGTGTGTGTGTGTGTGTGTGTGTAAGTGAACATATAAATTTCATTCAAATGAGCGACAGTCTGTTTCATGCTAGATGCAATAGTCAGGTATCCTAGCATGAAACAGCCTGTCGCCTCTGAGTGTTGACTTCAATGTTCACTTTTATATTTACACACACTCTATCTCTGATATTGAGCACTTTATCCCATAAATATAGCACATCTTAAGACTATATTTCTTCATATATACATATATATATGTGTGTGTGCAGATATGTATAAAAATAGAAAAGAACACGTTAGGTAAATAATCCGGAGTTCTGTAGTATTTTTTTTTTTTTTTTTTTTTTAAAAACAGTGCTCCATACAGAAGTAGAGCTTAAATTATAATTATTTTATAAATGACTAGCAGTAGAGCCCGGCGTTGCCAGGGGATGTAACAGTAAGAGATAGATCAAGTATCGACCATCATAAAGACTGAAAAATAAATTGACAAAGATTATTGTTTAAGGTTGGCGGACACGCATGTCTGAATTAGTTTTTTTTTTCTTTTTTTTTTACGAATTGGTCAAACCCAAACTCAAACAAAAACATTGTTTTCAATCTTTATGAGTCTATCGATTGAATAGAGTTTTATTATAAACAATTGTCTTGTAAATGGAATTTTAAAGCATTCTGAATGTAAAAAATAAAGAAAAAAGTGTGTGTGAGACAATAAGAAACACTACCTACCAAAAAAAAAGTGAAGTTTTGTTGAAATCGGTTTGAAAAATGTAGGAAATCCGATCCCATATATAAACGAACACACACAAACAACCTGGGTTTTATAATAAGTATAAATCGATATGAGTTGTCCCCCTTTCATTCTGGCGACAGAATCGTGTTTTAATGTGTTTTCAAATTAATTTCGTACAAAAAAAAATTGTGTTTTTTGTTTTTTTTTTAAATCAGAACCAAATTATTTTTCGTAGTCCTGTGAAGTTTTGTTGAAATCGGTTGAAAAATGTTAAAAATCCGATCCCATATATAAACGTAACACACACACACACAAACAACATGGGTTTACAATTCACACAAATCTTGTTTTTATAATAAGTAATATTGCTTTGCTACATAAGAGTTCTCATGTTTCAAAAACGATAATTGAAACCTTCATTATAATTATTAAATTGTGTGGTCGCCCCAGCCGTTACCATACTAATTAATTTTTCGAATGAACATGCTTATAAAGATGCGTAAATTTCAAGATTGGTTATTACTACATTTTCGTTTGAGGATGAAACATGGCTTGATACTTAAACTCAATTTAATTTTATTAATTATATTGAGGCTTTCGGCTCTCGTTTTTGAAACATGAGAATTCTTATGTATGAAGGAATCATATTTTTTTTTAAATAATTATAATATATATATATTACATATATATATATTACACAAGAGAGAAATCCAAAATTACTTCATGAGTATAGTCTATTTCAACTGACGTCGATTACGTCGGTCTTATTCAACTCAGACGGATGGACTGTATTCAGTGTCGGAACAAGAGATTTAACATTTAATGTTTAACAAACTCAGCAGTTGAAAAATTGATACAGAGCCTACTCATATCGAAGTTTCGGTAGGACAGACAGCGCGAGTAGTGATAGGAGGACGGAAGTTATCTGGCTTAAAAGGAAAGAAGCTCCACAAATTCAACCCAGATATTAACCTTAAGAGCCCAAATGGGGGTTTATAAGAAAGATGAAGTGAAAAATAAATGAAAAATTGAAATAGGACTTTTATAAAACAGAAATTTTTATTATTGTTTCCATTTTAAAATCTAAAAATATGTTTAACAAAAAAGATATAACAACAAGATTAACAATAAATTATTTAGATGGTTTATATTAAAAAAGAATATATTAAAAATATATATTATTATTACAATAAAATAAAAAATAATTTAACGATAAAAAATTATCCATCTAAAATTTCAAACTTAATTTAAATTATTAAGAATACAAACCATAAATCAAAGACTACGGAATATAAATAAATACACACACACACACACACACACACATATATATATATATATATATATATATATATATATATATATATATATATATATATATATATATATATTTCCCTATCCCTACATAATTAAGGAGCTTTTATTTAATTTTATACAATTTCTCATGCGATCTAATTTTTTTTTTTCTTTTCGGATGATAAATTATATAAAACCTGTCCAAATGTTCTTTTATCCGAGCGCTTTTTATATACATTTAGCCATTTTCAAGGATTAAATATTTTAACTGCCAATTAAGAAAGAGTTTTTGTATTTATGTTTTATAAAATAATTTCATTTTTCAAAACACAGTCAAGATATTATGTCCATGTTCAAAGATAATATTATTAAGTTTTTTTTTTTTTTTTAAATAAGACCTATATAAGTAAAAAAAAAA